GGTTTCAAATGGGTTTTCTGTCAAATCATCATATTTTTAAAATTTTGGGATCATGTTTTACACGTATTCAGCGTTGTTAAAAGATTCTTTTTATATGGATCTAGATACAGATACATCGTCTAAAATAATATCTAGGTATCGATATTTTAATCTATCCAGATACAGATACCACATTTTTATTTCTAGATACAGGATCCAGATACTTGTATCGATATCCGTTAACAACTCTGAAACAAAAATGAACATTTTTCATTTCATATTACTAGCAAGTTCGGTCATTCGAATATTCAGTAAGTGGTCGGTTTTGAGCTCGGCAATAGGTCGAATCAACAATATTTTTAGATTATTTTTGGAATAATGCATAACACCTTAATGTACTCGTATAAACCCAAAATGAAGAGATTTCGATCAATAACGCCAGCAAAATGTGCCTTATAAGTTTTCGATTCTAAACCTCATTAATTAAATGTCACATAAACCTTTTTAAATTTTTTAGATTTTTCACATGTATTTACACCCAAATATAAAAAAAAAAATGCAAACCAATAATCATTCTGGTTTCCTAAGTTGTTTTCTTATTTAAGCATTTAACGCCCTCTTATGGATATATATTTGTTAAATTTAAAAATCTAAAATTAAAACTTCTGTTGTAATAAGCTAGTAAATATATATATTTTTTTAAATCATTATTAATCTAAATAGTATTAAAATAGTCTTAATTCTCCTATATTGAAATGTTTTTTTACTATTATCCTTTTCTTTTTTTATATATATATATATATCTATATTTTTTTTTCTATTTTTACTTACGGTAGGTTTTTATTTCCTTTTATTTTTCTTTTCACGCAACATACATCAATTAAAAAAAAATTACAAAATAAAACATATCATAATAATTTTTTTTCTTTTGCTTCCATTATATATTGATCTTTCTACCCCATCATCGTTATTCATCACAAAACAAAAATAATAATAATAAATAATTTTTTTCATTTTCGATTAAAAAAAACAATAATAATAATAATTTTTTCCTTTTCGACTAAAAAGAACAACAATAATAATAATACATAATAAAACTTTCATAATGTTCCTCGTTATTTCTTTCATAATGTTCCCCGATACTGTTCCTCGACAAATAGAATTATAAATTATTTGATATTTAATTCCAATATTTATTTAATAAAAAAAATTGATTTATTGTATATTAAAAAAAAAGTTTCTTAAAATTATATATTATATTTTACTAACAAACAGCCTTTGTTTGGCAATGATAGATTAACCAAAATTTGTTCAACTTATTAAAAAGTTAAATTTTTAAAGTTACACCGATAAATTTAATAAAAAAAAATATTTTCTTAAGAAAAAATTATCTAAGTAATAACAACCTATCCATATCCATGAAGATCGAAGATAAATTTAACTTCAATTTATCCCTTTCAATAAAGTGTTGTGTGTGCATACTTTTAACAATATTCCAATTAAAGATTATTCATTTTCCAATATATTAACTACACCTCCTAGTAGAAAATTGAAATGCTATTTATTACTTGAATTACAAAATATTTCTCATAATAATCAACGTATTTATATTTTCTATAACATGGCATATTAATAAATTTATATAATAAAATAATAAACTGGAAAATATTTATGATATTAATCTCTAAATAGAATGGAAGTCCAGGAAGAAAATTGAAAGAAAAACGCCAAGATAAAATAAATGATTCCACAAAAAAGTTAACCCCCCCCCCTCCTTCATAAATTTTAATGAAGAGCTTTAGATTTTTAACCCTAAAAATTTTAAATTGAGTCATTTAAAAAAATTTCTAATTTATTTGAATTTTAGTAATGGTTAACGCAATCAAAATAATAGTAATTTTAAGGAAATTAAACATCTTTCTAGCGATAGTTCCTAGAAATAAACCCTGTACCTTTTTTTTTAAATAAAACTTTTATAAAATTATCAATTGACACACTATACAATAAAGGCTAAATAATAAAGATTTAAGATAGTTCATTCACAAATTTAAGTTTCCAAGAAATCATATGGCAAAACTTAGTTTATTTTATTTGAGAATAAGATGTCAGAATAATCTGATGCTTTTGATCACAATACCAGCACAATCCTGTCTCTTATTTCTGAAAACACGGTTAAATATCGCAACTATTCAGAGTTAAAATAATCAACCATATTCATAGTTCAATCTCACATAGATAAGATTATACTGTCCAAACCTCTTGATAGAAATTCAATGATCAACAATTTCAAAATATCAAAATACACAAACATTAGTGCCTTTTTGTTTTAATAATTTATTTAGACATGTTTTACAAAATTTTGTTTTACAAGAAATTTATTCCAGCATGTTTAGAAAACCTACTGTGATATTAGAAAACTTTGGCCATGGCCCTTTCCATAGATTTTTTATTATCTTCAATGCACTTGGTTCAAGCATCCATCAATTTACAGATGAACCCTGGGAAGATTTTTATCTCAGACAAAGGCTCTCAATAGCTATAGACAAGTTGAAACTATATAAGCTTCATCAGAATACTCCTTTTCCAAAAGCCAATCAAAATAATTTAAAAATTTTTTTTAAATCCTATTTGTTATATATAATTATTTTTTAAAATATATATGTAAACATAATCTACTAACATTAAAGTATTTATATTTTAATACATGTCTTGGAAAAAGAATTTTTTTTAATACTAATATAATAAAATATTTATTTGACATTTCAAATAAAATAAGATTTATTTAAATTTAAAATATAAATTATATGTTGTTAGATTTGTATATAGCCCTATTTGATTACATTCTTCAATAAATTTTTTTAAAGTTAACTTCTTTATTACTAATATCAGAAACCTGCAGGCCTGGCCCTAAGCCTGGCCTGGGTACATGTGCTGGGCCAAAATAATTTTTTGAAAAAAAAACCTGGACTGGTCCGTACAAATCTCTGCACCAGTTTTCTCAATTTGAACTAGATTTTTGAATTAGCTTCATGGTAGTTTGGTCATTGCAAATGCTAGTCAGTTATATCTGGTAGAGATCTGCAAAAGTAGGCCTGGCCCGTACCCGGCCCCTACTTTAAAAAAAATTAGGATTCGGGTTGGGTCGGGCTGGGAAAAATTTTTTAAAAAAAATTTAAAAAATTTTGGGCCGGGTGGGGCCTAAAAAATTAGGCCCGTGCAGATCACTAATATCTGGGTCACTAAGAAATATAGATCATCTTTTTATACTTATTCATGGAATTGCAGAAGGTCAAAGTCTTAAGCATTTCAATTTCCCATTTCTGACATTTAGTTTCGATGGCCCAGAACTTATAAATTTTTCGATCCCAGATTTTTTAAATAATTGTAAATTGTTTCAAAGTAAAATTAAAATACGCAGTAAATGAATGTTAAAAGATTTAAATTATTAACCAAATGATAGCAATAAAATTTACATTAAGTCTGGCTTAGATTTTTAATTCTACCATGTATGGCTTATAGGTTCTAGGATAGTTCTTTGTGGATTGTCTGTGAATTTTATGATCCAAATTTTAAATCAAACCATGACCTATACAAAAAATGAAAGCTAGGGGCCTATTAAAAAACAATGTTGTAAATTATAGTGACACTAATAAATTTGGGCTATTTGCTGGTTAATTATTTAAAATGCTTACTACTATGAGTCATATGGTGACTATGCAATAGTATATAGAATCTATAATATAATCAACAAAACTAACACATTAATAAAAATTTATTCTGATATATAATTTATAATTTTTTGTGCATTAATTTCCATATCATCTGGTGTGTTACTAATTAATTCTTCTAAAGTTATTTCATCATTGCCTGAAACATAATGCTTTGCTTCATCTAAAATTGTTTGAAATATTTCAGACTGAAGATTTTCTTCAAGTTTTTTGCCATTATAAGCTCTATTTTTTTAAAAATATAAATATCATATAGATAAAATAATGTACCTTTTATTTAGTCTATCATATAATAATGTGTTATCAGTGCGTAATATAAATATAGCATTTAACATATGTTTAGGAAATAAATCAACTCCATGATATTCAAATATTATAACTGGATTATCTAAACTTTGGACATTTTCCTCCAATTCATCTATTAACTGCATATTTGATATAAAACAATTTACTATTTAAAATATTACTCTTTCTTCATCTAAAACATGACAATCATATTCATTATCATATTCTTGTATAAGATTATGATCCTTTGCAAATTTGCTTATGTCAATATGGGCGGCATTAGGTATTTGTTCAATTATTTCATCTATCAGTGTACTTTTTCCTGTACCTGGTGTGCCTAGAATGTATAAATTAGTTTTAAATACTAAAATTTAAGCAAACTACCAGCAATTAGAATTTTCGTCACATTTTTCATTTTCATTTGCATCGTGCTTTCTTGGCCCTAACCAAATTCTTATTACGTCAATCAAACTTTGATGATGTAAGGTTTAACACATAGAAATTTGGGTGATGTGATTCCATCGAAAGTAAACGAGATTTTTGATAAGATGATATTAAATTTTTTGTAATATATATGATAAAACAAATCTATATACTTAGATATTGCCACTTAAGCCATTAAAAATTCGATTTTCCAAAGTGATTTCTTAGGCAAGTTTCCAAATATTTTCACATTTCTAATCATATATAAAAATTTGACGCATTAATTTTTTGCACAATACAATATTTAAAAAAATATTTAGGTTAGATGCAATCATCATTTAATCGTTAATAAAAAGCAAATGATGATTATTTTTTATTATTATCTCTTGTTTAAAATTCGGAAGTTAAAAAAAATTGCTAAAAATGTTCCTAGAAACCATTTTAAAAGAAAGATTTTTGGAAGCCTTTTTATTTTACTATGTTGGTCTACAATCTGTTCTTATCAATAACGCAAGGCAAGGTCCATCTGTTATAATCATTCCAGTTTTTTTAACCAACAAGCTTTGTTACCCAGAAAATAATTAAGTCATCAAGAGTGACTTTAAACCCCTCCCCCCTCCATTCCACCCTCATTTATCTCCTAAAAACTCTATAAGAACAAGAAAGTCAATTAAGGCACTTAAACAATATAGGGTCACTGGATTAATTAAAACACTCATCTTATATATAATGATTTTATTTAAATTTTTAGTTTTAGTTATTTAAAATTTAAATATTCTCGATCTTCGTGATTATTTAAATATTATAATTTATATGATTATTACATATCAAATATTTAAATTGTAAGTTGTATATACATTTATAATAAAACCTTGATTCCAAGAAGGATTAAGACTTAACAAGTATATGATAGGTGTTACAAACTCTTTCTAAAATTATCTTTTTGTTAGCTTTTATGAAAAATCTTCTTTAAAAAAATAATTAAGATCTTCATGACTGTAGACCAGTCCCAAATTATTATCTAATTCCATGCGAATAATTCTTTAATTCCATAGGAAAAAATCCGTGTCCCATGTTAAATTTGTTTTAGAAAAAAAACACACAGACTGCGGCTCGATCCCAGTTAGTTTTAATGTGATTTAATCTTGGCCCCAATCACCTTCAATTTCCATGGGATGTTGATTGATTTTTTAGGATTGATGAGTATAAAAAATGTAATAGGTTTGAATAAACAAATGTTGGGTTAAAGGAATTAGTGCCACATGTTCCCTACTGTTTAAAGTGCGATGAGGACTGAAAATTAAACCTAATATAAAATAAATAAGAATCAAATATTGTATTATTCGTATTCAATTCTCTTATATTGGTGCGCGTATAATAAAATTTATTATTAGTATTTAGTTTAAATTATTTAAATAATCTGTTTTTTAAAAATTAAATGCAAAAATATTGACAGAATTTCTTTAATTTTTTTATTGCCATTTAACATAATAATTATTTAATGATAAAGAACATGTGATCAAGTTATTAATAAATAAATAAAATTGCTTATTAATTTAATTTATATGGTGTTGCAATATCCAATACATTGAATTATATAATAATATAAAATATAATTTAATTAAAATTAGCTCATTTGATGTTCATTTATATAATATAAATACATTTATTATAGTTAACTATTTATTTTTAAAAATATTTTTCAATTCTGCTAATCATTTAAAATAAATAAAATTTAAAAAACTGGTTGATAAGTATTAGCAACTGTTAGCAGGGTTGCCAGGTCAAATTATTCAAATTGCGGGAGAAATTTGGTATTATGCGGGAGAAATATGAAAATTGCGGTAGAAATATAAAAATTGCTAAAAAGTTCCGATCTTCGGCCGGGATTTTGAATTGACTTAATTATCCGCTTATTATTTTTTATAATTAGTTTATATAAATACAAAGTCGGTAACTATTTTTCAAAATAAAATAACATCTTGATTTTAAATTATAATAATTTATTTAAAAAACTAACGATCTTTTTTAAATATAAAAGTAAACAAGATAAAATTTTCGTAAAATATTTTTTTTTAATTTTAATTTTAAAATTATAAATATATTTTATGCGAATGTCCCGCTAAACGACCGCAA